ACCCAAGTTTTGGTCTGAAACATCTTAGATGGGAAAGTTGATACTACAGGTGGGTAACATCCGTGCTTCCAGCAGAGATTCAATGTCTCAGTTTGGTGTGGGTCCAAATGTTCAGGCCATGTTGGTCCGTTGGTCATTGTCAAAAGTGACCCATCCTAATTTGACGGAAAAGCACCACCGCATATTTTGGTGGTAAATCAATCCTTGATTTTCTTTTCATCGGTCTCCATCTGATCTTGGTAAGGCGGACATGTTTTGCTTGTTAGCCACCAACTTCTGCTGATTCAAGAACCTCTCAATCTACCATTTTGCTGCATTTTTGCTGTTGACCATCATTTTGCAAGTAAAATGGTAGATTTGGAAAATCCCATCTAAAAAAAAGATAGAGAAAACCATTTATAGATGGGATTTTCCATTCTAAATCAACCACTTGGTGACCACCCGTTTTTTTCCAAGTAAAATCACACGTCAGGCGCAGACTGCTGAGGAGCGGCGCTGGGCACAAGTGAGTCTCCAACAGAGGCGGCTACAGTCCCGGCCGTTGTGTTTATAATATTTAATATGGGATTATAATGGGATTATAATGGGATTATAATGGGATTATGATTATAACATATGTTTAATATGGGATTATAACATCCATTATGGCTTATGGGATTATTAAATGGGATTATGATGGGATAAATATATGGGATTACATGTGTTTTTTTGATATTCCTATATATAATCGGATTACATGATATGGGATAAATAATGAGATTATACATACTATTTTAATCTACTTTGGGGATTATATAGTATGATAATTATGATCATTCCGGGATCATAATATGGTAATTGTGATATGTATTAATGACTTTTTTTTTGAACATTATATATTGAACTACAAAATGATATTGCTATAGTATACATGGGTGGTACAAACGACGAACCATCTAAAATTGGAAGTTTATTATTGGGTTTACTACATGAAGGGATTATAATGATCAAATAACCTTTTGGGGATTATAATCCAGTCACTGTAGAGAAGACATTTAGTTAGAAAGATAGAAGTCTTATTGCTATGAAAAGGTTCAGAAGAAAACATGTTAAGGATGTTACCAGCCCAAATTTGTGGAAGAACTAGGATTTGACCAGTATAAATGCCAGTGTTAAACAGCAAACACTTGCTATTTGAGCAGCACTTTTCTTCTGTTTCCCGGCAAAGTTGGATTTCGGCAGCTAAAATGTTGGTTTGCCAGCAAACATATGCGTTTTCGCCGAAAAACAACATGTTAAAAATGATGAAATTGTTGGCGGACTTGAACAACCCATGAGTCAATGACTTTAGCTAATTCACCCAAGAAGTCAATGGACACATTTCCATTTATAGATGATTTTCGCATTATATAGAACCTCTATTTTTTGGGGGATTTCCCAGCGGGTCGCAGGCAGATGACTTCATGGAGTTCCAAGGCGGTTGGGACCTTCTACACCCCTGCGAGTCGATGGCACTACCAGTTGAGGTCGGGCTTGACACCTTGAAACCTTGGGGCCGGGGGGAGAATTCTACCTTGAAATCCAAGTTGGAAAGCTTGTTGACCCTCCTGTACTGAAAGGTGGCTGGGAAGTTCTTGACTGAAATGAAAGGTTTTGATGGGAAAATCATTTGTAAATGGTGGATTTTTCATTGCCATAGTTGAGTACCGGAGGGTTTTTGGTTTCTTTTTTGGGGGAGTGTGGGGGTTTCGCATCCTGGGAAAAGTGGCGCAGCCTCCAAACAAGTCTCAAGCCTTACTGAGCTCCGCCCCTGCTCAGATTTCGATTTGATGATTTCGAAGGACCGGAACCATACTTTGGAACTCCGGGGCATTGGGATCTCGGCAGCTGTTGGGTCTCAAAACATGGGATTTACCTCCAACTTATTGCATTTTGGGCAAGATAATCATCGACCATGGGATGGAACAGGGGTTCCGATTTCGAGATGGCCCCGAAGTGAGGCAATCGACTTTTGAGCCTGGGATGAATGAAACCTCCGGTCTTTGATCATTGAAGAACTCACCCCTTGCGGATGGCATCCAGTGTCCATGGTGTTAGGACCTCCCGTAGAAGCCGAAAGGCGCGAAACGAATCTGGTTTTCCAGAAGGCGCGGATTTGATTGGATGCATCCAGCTTCGTTTGTCCTGGCATGAAACCCTATTTAAATGATGTTCTTAGGATACTGGAGATTATACAAACGTGCTCAGAACGTGAGAAGCCTCACAAAAGTTCACTGGTCGGTCGGTGTCTTTCCATTGGACAATTCATTGAGATCCAGATCCACTTCTGATGAACAGATCCGCTGAATCAATCAGTATCAATCAACGGTCATCCACTATAAATAACAGCACTGTTCATCAGCCCCCAATTACAAAAAACCACGTATTATTCCATGATATTTACTGGTAATTTGTCGCATATCAATTGAATATGGCACATAGAAACACTTGATTACCTATTAAAAATGGTGATTTTCCATAGCTAACTGTTAGTTTACCAGAGGGTATAACAATAATAAATATAGGTTATTATACCATCCCCAAATCACCATAAATAGGTGGTATAAACTTGTATAAACTATTCCCAAATGGGTTATGACATTGTTTTACCCACATTATCCATAAATAAAATCAAATTGTTGAACTTCTCCGAACTTCCCGGCCCAGGTGCCGAGCTCGGAGGATCCCATGTGGACCGTCTCCTTGGTGCAGGAAGCCGGGAAAGCCTGGCTGGAGCTGCGAATGAACGAGGCCAGATGTCCCCAATCATTTGAATGGCTAAACCGTCAACATATGGCTATGGATCAATACCTATTAATACCATTTTTAGGGGGATGAACATCCATAAATCCCAGCTATTTTGATGTGAACTACAGGGGTACCAGGGTTTTGACACACTGCCATATGGCTGTACGAACATGATCTATTTATTTTTTCGGTGTCGGAACAGAATGGGTATGGGTATTCAAATCCCTATTGCTGGATTGATGACTGTCATTGTGAGCTGACACGTCATGATCATTTCAATCATTTTGGACATAACAACATGTACCATTTCTGTTTCATCTTGTGATATCCTGGCTCTGGGCGCATGGCCCCATAGGCGCCTTGAGCTGTAGCAGGCACGACATCCGAATGCAGCAGGAGAAAATCGACAGGTGCAAGTTACTTCGTGAGGGCTTCATCTTGAAATTGGTAGCGGGGCTGAACAGGGTCCAGACCGAGGGTCCCTTCTACCTCCTTTTTGTTTGCTGAGATTGCTGCAACGACCACCGAGCGGGTGAAATCTTCTCATAGACTAAGGTGGTGAAAACACAACGGCATGAGCGGCAACGGCGGATGGCAATGGTGCCACGGCACCGAATGGAGGAGCAGCAGGGACAGGTCCCCATGGAGTTTCTGTTTCCAATGGACGTGGGTTGGATTCTGGGTTAGCAAAATCTTGCCCCCAGCTGAAGGACTCACCCAGAAAACATACAGAAGTCACAGGCATAGACTTAAGTCTTGCCAAGCAATGTTCAGGGAGAAACAGAGATACATCCATAGAAGGGGCATATCTAGCAGTCAGTCTTGTTCAAGATTCTGCATGGGAAGCAACGGAACAACTTAATCTGGATGACATAGAATTGGCGGATGAACCATTCAGTCCAATTTGGCATCTACTTGACAAGTTCTACCAGTACGAGGACCTCATTGAATTCCCAAGCAGGTGTGAAGAGTTTTTCCAAGATTTCATGTGGTTAGCATAGAGATCCTCAAACTTCTGGCAGGATGGCATCTACTCACTCGTGCAGGAGTCCCCACATGGACCCATGTGCAGGTCAAGTCAATGTGCGAATGTTTGGAGGAGATCATCGTCCAAACCCCAAAGATCTTGGCGAGATGAACCGAGATGATGTCTTCTACGAGGACGCTGATGACGAGGCCTATTACGAGGAGGGGGACGATGAGTACTACGAGAACTATGATGATGATGATGGCTTCGAAAGCTATGAAGAAGCTTTCTATGAAGATGAGGTGCCAGAAGACTTGGAGAATGCGGCAGACTTGGTGGAGGATGCCTATGTTGTGAGCTACGTCGAGAGTCGGCGTCTCATGCGTGAGCTTGCTCTATCCAGAGGTTTTTACCCCATCATCGCATTGGGGCCTGAGGCACAGAATGACAAGGGCAAGGGCTTTTCACGAGGAGGCAAAGGAAAAGGAAAGTCAAAAGGTGGAAAAGGAAAAGGCAAGAGCAAAGGTGGTGGTGGATTCAAGAAGACACCACGGTCACGAAGGCCAGCCAGCGGTTTGAGAAGGCCACCGCCCAGTTCCACAGCAAGCGGATCCAGCTCTACGAACACTGGCTTCAAGTCGATACTTTCTGGATCAACATCACAGCATGGACTAAGATTCAAGTGATATCTAGTTCGAAGCAATGGAGTCAAAGAAGTTGGAGAAGAACAGGTCACCATGGTGGAGGACGTCACAGAGGACAAAATCTATCAGATTGGCACCGCTGAAGCTTGTTTCTTTTCCAATTTGGAGACAAGCGAGGCAATTGTGGACTCCGGAGCTTCGAGAACGATCGTTGGCGAAGAGATCTGGAAAGAATGGATGGAAAACATGCGTGCGAGCGATGCCAAACTGATCAAGAGTGACAAGATGATGGCAATGTGGTCCGGTCGAGCTATGAGGTGAATTTTCCAGCGTTTGTCAAGGGCCAGAAGCTTAGCATCACAGCAGCAGTTGTCCCTGGCAGCGCACCCTTTCTGGTAGCTCGACCAACTTTGGAGGAGTGGAAAGTCAAGCAAGACTATGAGAAGCAAGGCTCAAAGTCATGGAGACTGATTGGTTTGAGCCCGAGCACGACAAGAAGAAACACTACATCTTGAACCTCATGGACTACAAGACACCAAAGGATGAGATTCACCATCAAGCAGAAGAGTGCACAGTAGTTGGAGTCCTGACGGACGAATGCGAGATTGAATTCAAGGAAGCTTCTGCAATCAACGAGGACATGATCCTGGTGTCAGAGGATGTGGTGGACAATTGGGCGATAGAGCCCAGCATTGAACCTGATGGCATGCAAGAAACCTCCAAAGATTGTGCGGTCGATGTGGACTTAAGCGACGCACTGGAATTGAGTGAGGTGGCGGTTGGCAAGAATCTTGCCAGCCGCGGGCTCCTCTTCTGTGAGGTCTATGTCGACCGTGGCAACATTTCGCAGTACATGGTTGCCAACTACTCTGACGTGAGTGTGGCAAAATTTTCTTTGCCAGGATGGGATTTCAAGCAGCCGCATGTGAGAAAGCAGTTCTTGAAGCCCATGGAGAACGACAAGCCTCATTTCATTTGGATGGCACCGCCATGCACTTTATGGTCACCAATGCAGAACATGAATGCCATCAGTGATGAAGATAGAAGTCGTCTTCAGGAGCTGCGTGATGAGGAAGAGCGTTCTCATCTACAACTATGCAAAGACGTGCACAAAAAAGCTGATGAGATCTACGCTGGCGATGGAATTGAAAATCCTGACCGAGCAGCGTCATGGAAGACCGAGACATGAGAATCCAGTACTCGATACTACGACACAGTTTGCGACAGATGTCGAACTGGTCTGTCCTACTACAAGAATGGAGTGTTCCCGGGCATGGTGAAGAAGAGCACGAGGGTGAGAACTAATTGTGCTGAATGGGCACACATGTTGGATCTGGTTTGATTGGCAAAGGAGCTGCACTGAAAGAGATGCAGAACTATGAGCCTGGTTTCGTCTTGCGTGCAGCCACTGCAATCTACAAGAACATGGAAGAGAACTGGCGCAAAAGACAGATAGCACAGGTGATGGTCACTGAGGAGCTCAACGAGAATGAGTCAGAGAAGGCAAGAAAAGCGATGCAGCAACTAGCCAGTCCAACGTCTGTCACCACGTGGTGAAGAAGTTGCATCGGCAGCTGGGTCATCCAGGCAAAGACAAACTTGTCAAAGCTCTCAAAGATGCCAACTTTGATGAGTCCATACTGAAGTGTGGACGGCAGTTTCGCTGTGACATCTGTGAGTCTTTTGCAACGAAGAAACGTGATCGACCAGTTTCTTTGCCACAAACCACACACTTCAACGACATGCTGGAGATGGACACTTTTCATGTGAAATGGCGTGGTCGGAAAAGCAAAATCCTGGCAGTTTTGGACATCCACACCAGGTATGAGATGAATGAGGTGGTCAAGCATGAGACCTTTGAGGAGGAGGTCTCGGTGCTTGAGCGGTTGATGTCATGGGCAGGTGTTCCAAGAAGTATCAGAACAGACTCATTTGGAGCCCACATGGGTGAAGAAATGCAGAGCTGGTGCGATGAATACGGCATCAAACTTGTCTTGGTGCCAAAGGATGCACACAATCGAATGGGAACTGTTGAAAGACTTCATGCCGTTCGACGTTGGCAGCTCATGAAGTTGATGAAGGAGAACGACACCCTGAGTCCCCAGGAAGCAGTGATCATAGCCTGTTCACAGAGAAACCGTCTGAGGTCCATCCACGGCATTTCACCAGCAGCAGTGGTTCTTGGATACACACCCGAGGACGATGGCATCTGTGATGAGCCAGCCGACTCAATTGAGGGTCGACGGGCGTCAAGCCTACATGGAGGATCAAGCTGTGAGAGCATTGGCCACAAAGGCCTTCTACGAGGCCAACACAGATGCTACTCTTCGACAAGCAATGCTGGCAAAGACTCGAACTGATGATGAGCCTTTGAAAGTCGGCGGCTATGCCTACTACTGGCGCATCATGATGGAAGCCTCTCGATGGAGAGGATCAGCTTTGGTTTGCGCTGTGGAAAGTCGTCCCGATGGCCGACCAGATGTGTACTGGATGGCTCATGGATCCTCTCTGGTGCGTTTCGGCCATGTCATGACACGACGTGAAGTTCCCGCAGAACGAGTTGCCAGACTGGAGCAACTACCAGACGCAGCCGCCAGAGAACCTGCAAAACAACGTGTCCTCAGAGCTCTTCGGCCAGTGCGAGGTCCCCCCATCCTGTTTCTTGATCTTGTCCCCGATGGTCCGTCCGTTGACACAGAAGCAATGGACGCCACGGACACAAAGATGCAAGTTTTGGATACAAACAAGATGGGCATCAAGGAGGAGAGTGACACCAAAGGCGTGGCTGAAGAGAAAGACACCAACAAGCGCAATGCAAGCAAAGCAGAGATTGAGGAAGAGAAAACTATGGAGTTGGATGTGAAGGTTGAACCGGTGGATAAGCGCATGGAAGTGGATGCAGTTGACAAGACATCTGAGGCTGAGAAAGCAAGCAGTGAACAGCAAGCCAAAGAGGATGAGAAAACACGAGAAAGATCTAGAAGCCCACCACCTCAAGATGAGGAACGGATGAGGTGGTTACAACTTTTTTCAATGCAGCGAGAAGGCTTGAAGGACTGCCACCAAGAACTGCAATTGCCAGGGAGCTGCACTCCAACTGGCAGGGAAGTCTTTTGGAAAGCACGGCTGAGGTACACAAAGATGGAGAACACATTTTGAGCGAAGTAGGTTGGTGGAACATTTTCACGACTTTTGCGGTCATCTTCTTCTTTGCACAGAGAACAAGGCAGCTTCACAGAATGACAAGGCGACTGAGCCGATTGCGGTCCAAACGAATGTCAGGTGCCTAGAATGACACCACTTCTGAAGAGGCCTATGAGCCTGAAGAGGACTATACGCCCGGCCGAGCCATGTCGCACCGAGATGCAACTATGAGCTCTGGAAATCGACCTATGCCGAAGTTCTGGAGGAACCAGCTCAAGCGGATTGGCAGCGGATTTCTGCGGAAGTGTTGGCAGGAAAGCATGGACATCAAGCGAGAGCCTGGTGGTATGAAAACGCTGATGTGGACATTCGTGCAGATCGTTATCTCTCAAAGAAGCTGGATGGCGGTGAAATCACAGCCAATGCCATGAAGACTTGTCACCGACTTTGCAATCTCAGTGATGGAAAGTATCTGTGCGGATATCTTGGTGAATGAGAAGAACAGCACTGTAGCACCAAACCACCGTGAGAACGATGTCCAAGGCATCATTGCGGGCACTCTTCGTGACAAGATTGTCCAAACACGTCGCATGGAAGAATGTGCATCATGGCTTTAGTCTTCTTGCTGGAGAAAGTCAGTGGGGAGCATGGGAACACAAAAGCGCTTTGGATCCCAACGATCTTTAGAACATTTGAGTGGCCGTGGTAATTTTCACTTTTCCCTCCGTGTCATTGTGCGTTGACACGTCATGATTATTTCAATCATTTTGGACATAACAGCATGCCCCATTTCTTATTTCATCCAGACTTCAAAAGAGCATATTTCTAATGTTAGATAAAGTTTGCCACTCTGAAGAAAGGATAAATATTCTGTTTGGGAACTACATTACCTGAACTTCCCCACTGCCATCTTCCATTTTCTGTCAAAGTATTCTACTGTATAGTGGAGATGCATCTTACTTTCCAAGGTGTGCTGTGATATCCTGGTTCTGGGCGCATGGCCCCATAGGCACCTTGAGCTGTATGCAGCAGGAAAAATCGACAGGTGCAAGTTACTTCGTGAGAGCTTCATCTTGAAAATGACCATATACAATTCAACTGTTGAACATGCGGGGATACAATCAACATTAACCGCCCATAATTGTGATGCAACGGAATGTGTGCTGGGTGTGTCTGAAAATGGACTTGCGTACCCCCGCAAAAAATATACAGTGTGTATATATATATATAGGACACATTGCATTTTTAACATGGAAAGTGATGACAAACCAGTGCATGGAATGCGATACTCTATCTTCAGATAAACCCAGCATGGTTGTGTTTGATGTCAACCAACCCAATTGTTTGGGCAATTCCACCAAAATTTGTTGACAAAATTGCTGGACCCAAACAGTTGCGAGAAATACATCCACTTTTCTGCGGGAAGGGTTCGCAATCTTGGCCTTTTCCTGAATGAGTGCTCCCATTTTGAATGACGAGGTCAGCGGTTCATAACTTTTATCCCTTGGGGACCAGGGATAAATTTGCCACGAGTGTGACCCATTAGGCATAGCTGCCATAGTTTGTGGCACAGTTTTGTCATTCGAGGCATATTCTTGGAACAGCTGACTATGGTGACCTCACAATGACCCCTCACAAAAACCACGATGATTGGGGAAAATGCCACCCCAAAGTCTTGGGTTTGAGGCGAACTACAACCCGAAAGGATGGTGGTAAAACTATGTAAAACTCAGGCCACCTTGCCTTCAAGTCGCCCCAGCAGGTCTTTCTGTTGAGCCATCGAAGCAGACTTTGCAGTGCAAAAACTCACTGTTTCAGAGCCTTGGACTGACTTCGGCGGGAGATCTTGGGATGAATTATATCCGTCCATTGGTAAATGTTTATTCATGGTTCTTTGGTTGGTGGTGTCAACTGTTATATATTTATGTTATTTTATTTTCAACTCTTCCTGGGATACTGATGATTTGGAATTGAATATAAGACATATTTTCATGGACCTTGAAACCGACACCCAGAGTAGATCCCATCATTTGGGTGCATCAATTTACAATACATAGTAGGGGGAAGGGATAAATGTGAAGGTGTCTGTGACATGATTTCAGTTCGAGTGGCTTTGGGCTTGACATTTTCGCAGTGCCTTCCGTGGCGGCGAAACTCCGCTAGCAAAAAGGTGCAAAAATAACTGGAGATGGTGCTGCTTTGCCTCTGCATGTAAATGTACATAGAGGAACATTTATGTAATCTCACTGTATATAAACAATGTGTATATACATAATATATATTTACATATATAAATACATGTACAATACATCTATACATCTATACAAACATAAGTATATAGATATCTTCAAATATTATCGCTATCCAATTGCTAACAGGAAACTCAGCAACGGTCCACTGGTCCATTGCCTGATCCAGATCGTCTGTGTCGCGACTTCCGGCGGAATGCACAAGCTGTACAGCAGCTGATCGATCGCATGGAAGGCTTAGAAGGTGCAGCTTGGCTGTGGCAGACATGGTAACACACACCGTTGACACATCAATGTTTGAGGGTTCATAGTTCCTGAAGATAAAGACCGGTAGAAGGAGGTGTGGCTTGAAGTTGTCTTTTGGAACAGACAAACTGGGAATTAATCAACAATCGTTCCCAAGGTTTTCCCAGAAGATTTTGTTATGCCCCCTACAAATCCTAAAAGTATCTGCTCTATCCAGCTGGGAATCAACCAGTAAAATTCTGGACCCAATCACTTCGACACATCCAAGTGGTTATTGGACCACCAAAACCTTCTTCCAAGTACCTGAGCCTTTGGATGTCCTTTTCCCTATGGTTGCTTAATTAACAGGATTCCTATTTCTTTTGGCTCAAATCACCATTCGAAGGAAATGGATGTTCGGTGCATGGTACGGTTGATCTTCCATTTTTTCCTTTTTTGGTGAAAAAGGACATGGGTCTTTGCTTCCCAAATGGTGGCGTGAAAGCTGCTGTCACAGGCGATGGAGTGAGGCTGTACTACCCTGGCATCTTTGATCCAGCACTGGATGTCCAAGAGTACTACGACCAGAGGGCCAAGCAGCCGGTGGATGAAAGCGCGCTGGTTGCATTGCGAGGGGGCTTTAAATGCCCTGGATGTTGCGCATGACCAAGAAAAATGTCAGGAATGGCATGGCGAAATAGATCATGCACCTCCGGGAAAGGAATGGTTTTCATGAGTTAAATATCGACAAATCCCAGGTACTGGAATGGTTTGAAACTAAAAGCATCTAGAGATACTCCAACAAATTGTCAATTCTTTGTAGGTCCTTTTGATACTGCAGGTACGAAGAAGGAGACTGCCCGCATTCGGAGCTTCAACAACTGCGTGAAGACCATGATGCTCGAGAGTCTCTGGGCCTTGATTTTAGATTCCCGTTAGAAATGACCAATTGTTTGGATGATCTTGGGGTCCCCCATGTCAGGAACTCCGCAGGTATTTCTCATTATTCTCACTTTCTTTGCAAGTATGGAACTATATGTATACTGTACTTATTTCACCAGTTTGTAGGGGTTCTTCATGCCACTTGGTGGTTATATTTCCCACCTTTTTTTTGGGGGGGTTTTAGCATCACACATTTTTGGTGGTCCAAAATCGGTTAACGCTCTGGAAAAGGGGAGGTTGACGGATGGGTGGGTGAAAAACCGGACTGGTGATAGTCCTTTTTTTGGCGACATGGTTGCAGATGATGAAGATTGATGAAGATTGATGAAGATTGAGGGTAGAGTCACTCTGAAGAGAACATCAATGATTTTTTGGGTGTTGAACCTTTGTTTGGCAAGAGTTTGCCATGGTGAATGTCACAGGTTTGTTCTCAGTTCTCCTCCTTAGATCTGCGACTTAAGTGAGACTAGTGGACGATGCTCGTTTTTTCCTCGATAGATTTTGCAGGGTGGCCTTTTTTTTCGACCTAGGGAATCAGCAAGAGTAGAGGCTCCCCAGTAACAGGGGATCCAATTCATGGGATAACCGCCATCAATTGGTTGATGATTGAGGATGGTTGAATGACCATCTAGATGCATTTATCAGTTAGCACGCGTTCTCTGACTTGGTTGAGGAAAATTGTTTGGGGGAAGAGCAGAACCTTTCTGGCTGGTAAGAAGTATTCCAACCAAACACGTTGCAGTGGTCCCTGGTCGAAGTTTACTCCTCTTCAGGGATGGTTGTGGGTTCGAAAGGCAAGCTACACCTTCACAAGAAACACTTCACACGCTGGTATTGCAAGTTCCAGAAGTATGCTGGTATGCCTTTGACGCTGATCATTCTTATTCAGTGCTTTTCGCAGGTGCTATTGTTCTTTAGCGAAGCGGCCCTACCTGGAAGTGAGGCCGCACTTCTTCACAAGAAACACATACTTAGGTTGTACCGTATATAAAGGTTCGAAAGGTAACTTGGTTATCTCGCACAAATACCTTGATTTTTTCGTTGGGGATATTATTGCACGTGTTTTTGGGTGGAAAACAAGAAGTCAACAAGACTTGAACCGCGACACATTTTTCCTGTGATTTTTCTTTGAGATTATACTTTTTTTTTTGGAAACCTATCCTCAAGGCATTGCGACAGGAATCAAGCAAGCCAGCAAGGGAGGGAGGGAGCAGCAAGCCTGCCTGCCTGCCTGCCTGCCTGCCTGTTTGCCTGCCTGCCTGCCTGCCTGCTGCCTGCCTGCCTGCCTCCCTGCCTGCCAGCAACTTGCAATAAAGGCTTAACAGGAGCAACCTAAATCCCCTGGCACCACAACATGACCACTACCACTGCAACCACCACCCCTCCAATAACAATAGCAGCCAAGATTGCTGCATCTGAGTGGGGGTCAACAAAAACATGGTGCAGGGTCAAAAAAACGGATAAAGGATTAAAAGCAAAGGGTGGAGGCTTAGAAAAACAGGTTGAATGGTTAAAACATGGGCCTCCACTTTTGAGGTTATCTTCAGCCAACTTCCAGGAATTATGACCTCCACTAGCCGGATCCTGAGGCTTTATGGATGGTATGAAGGGTGAGCTGAAAATCCTGGATTTGGGCTGTGGACGTGGCCAAGACATCCACAAGCCTCTCGACGTGCCATTTCGAACCTGCACTCGTGGGTTGATAGCCCTAGTTGAGGCCCTTCACCAGCTTTTATGGTTCTAAATGGGGTCATTGCACAAATGGGGTTTACAACTGAGTTATAACTAGGGCCATAACTCTACAATTTGTAATTGGAGTTGTAACCAATGAGCCGCACTCTATATCACTGGGATGAACATCCAAGAGTATATAAGACAATTTTTGCACACAGACAAATCACTGAATTTGCCCTTGCAACGCGACCTTTTGTGCCCGTTCCAATGGTTCACTGACATTGGAACCCTTGAAAACATGAGTTTCCTACTCAAAGCAGATCCATTTGTTAGGGTGTTCGAACTTTGGACATTGTTTGATGTTTGGACATTTCAAATCTGAGCTGGCATTGGAAAACCCACCCTTGAACCCGCATTGTAGATCTTTTCCCAATAAAAACACCACTTACAACTTCCTTCAGCCAGCCATGTTTCATTTTTCGCCACTGCACTTGCCACAAAAAGGAGTGTTTCACCCTTCCCCATCCTCCCAAACGGCCGCGCCAAAGGTACTCCCGGGAGCATCGTCAGTGCTGCGTCCAACTGGTGGTGGGAATTGACTTTGCCAGCGCGGCGATTGAGGAGGCGAAGCGACGCTACAGCCCCTTGGTGCCGAGGGCCGTGACCGAGATGATGGGTAGATGGTACCAGCCAAAGTTGGGGGATTTCAGTGACAAACACGGAGGTTTTGAGCCAAAAAAATGGGAATGTCACCAGCACAGCTGGGGACTTTCGGTGATCTAAGGCTTCTAAGGGGGATTTCAACAAATATGGAGGCGTAAATTGGAAAAGAAAGATGGCAAGTGATGTACATAAGAAGTGGACAATTCAAACTAATCTTGACCCATACTCATAGCGACATGATGGTAGAACCATCCTGGAGTCGATAGGAAGGGAACATTGGACCAACCAGGATAGGACCACCATCCAGAAATGAGGATTCGGGACTTTCACCCCACTTCAGATTGACTAAAGGGAATCATTGCCATGGTAATTTTTTCAATTTGCTCGAACTGGATCATGGGAACACTCGCTTCTTTGTGGACAGTGGGTGGTGTCCTCAGAATTCTTGCTGAAATCCAAATTGTCTTTTTCAGTTGGCGCATGTGCGAGTTTGCAGACAGAAAGTTCTTTGCCCCTTTGGCCAGAAGAACTTTGCTCATTCACCATGGACTTCGGCCAATTTCTGGGTGACATCTCTGCCGCTGCCGCCCAGATATCTTGTACCAGAAGGCCCAGAACGCGGGGCGCCCCGAGTTCCTGGCCACCTTCCAGTGGAATGACCTGCGTCGACCGGAGACGTTGCAAGCGCTGAGGGAAGCCTATCCAGATGGGCCCCTTGGCTGTGGAGGATGAGAAATCCAGGGATTTTGAAGCCAAAGTTTGGGGGTTTACAGCGTCACCATGAGAGTAAAAGGTGGAGCGCCATGTGGGGGGAGTAGGGGATTAAAGCAAGAAAAACCACAGTTTCCCCAGCAGAAAATAAACGCATACGAGTTTGGACATATGACATATGAGTGACATAGCCATTGGCATGTAAAGGTTTCTTAGATAATTGGGGCCCGTACTACCAGTTGATGAACCGCGAGGCAATCTCTGGTTTTCAGGTTCCCAAATCTAATGAGACACCCAAAATCTATGTCGGTTGTCTAAAGAAGATGGAAGACAATTCAACTCAAACTTTAAGATCTTTAAGAGTGAAGTTTTGGCAACTTGAACCAGGAAGCCAATTCCAGCTACACCAGCCTATAGTATGCCTATTTTGGTCAGCGATCAGCCCATGATCCAAGGGACCCCCGACTCAGCTGGGGTGCATGCTGAATCTGGGTTTGTTTGGAATTCTGGGTTTCCCAATTTACATAATTACCCATCTTGACCCCTCCAAACAAGTTAACAAATGCCTAAATAAATCCAAATAAAACATTCTGGACACTCGATATACCCCACTTGTACATGGATTACTGGCCATTTACTAATTTGGATGCACCCCCAAGTTACCCTAACACCAGACAGTTTGCATCCACCAGTACCCGGCGAGTGCTGTGAGATTCTGAGGTTTGACGTCGTTGTCTGCCACTCGAATTGAAATCCTGGGCGTTTTTCTGTCTCGTTTTGTTGCAAAAGCTTCGCAGAACTCAGGTTCTATCTTCTGACTCTTCGCCTAAAGTCAGCCATCAAATCTTAGTTTTTTCCTCATTCCATGACCCTCCGGAATTCCCGCAATCAGCTTGTGTCTGCCAGATCTCCGATTTCATTGATAGCAAGAAGGTAAGCTGCTCCACAAAATCTGCTAGCCATTGATTTTCTTTCATTTTGCTTCTGAATCGACCATCCGCAGTCCCCAAATCCTGAAACCAGGTCAGTTGGCATTGCACTACATTCTCAGCTCGGAAGAGGCGATGGGGCAACGCATCTTTGATACCCCCAACAACCGATCCGCATGGCTCTGTCCATAGGATATCTTCAAAATTGCTGACCAATAAGATTTTGGGTCCCCTTTGAGAGAAACCCTTAACTGCCTTAACCAACCAATGCCGGTTTCACTGTGGTGAAGATACCCTACATGACACCCCTGGTTACTGGGTTTCCCCACCTGGTCGAACGATTGCTTCCCATGACGGGATAGATGACCATACCGCATTCATCCCATCTAACTTGACCCTAGCACCTAACCTCCAGTAATCACGAAAGCTAGCGTCAGCTAGCTGGAGTCTTCTTGCTTTAGCAAGTATTGGGGGGGCTGCTCAAGGACATCACGTGATTTTTCACGCGAAAGGCCCCCCCCCTCCCCCACCACCACCACCACCATCACCACCATCATCATCATCATCATCATCATCATCGTCATCGTCATCGTCATCATCATCGTCATCATCATCGTCATCATCATCGTCATTATTATCGTCATCGTCCTCTCCATCGTCCTCGTCCGCGTCCTCGTCATCATCATCATCATCATCATCATCGTCGTCCTCGTCATCGTCCTCGTCATCGTCATCGTCATCATCATCGTCATCATCATCATCATCATCATCAGCATCCTCGTCATCATCATCATCATCATCATCATTATCTATCTATCTATCTATCTATCTATCTATCTATCTATCTATCTATCTATCTATCTATCTATCTATCTATCTATCTCTATCTATCTATCTCTATCTATCTATCTCTATCTATCTATCTATCTATCTATCTACTATCTATCTATCTCTATCTATCTATCTATCTATCTATCTATCTATCTATCTATCTATCTATCTATCTATCTATCTATCTATCTATCTATCTATCTATCTATCTATCTATCATCATCGTCATCATCATCGTCATCATCATCGTCATCGTCCTCTCCATCGTCCTCCTCCTCGTCCGCGTCCTCGTCATCATCATCATCATCATCATCATCATCATCATCATCATTCATCATTCATCATTCATCATTCATCATTCATCATTCATCATTCATCATTCATCATTCATGATTCATGATTCATGATTCATGATTCATGATTCATGATTCATGATTCATCATTCATCATTCATCATCATCATCATCATCGTTATTCAATTACATTTTATCATTATTGGCAATTATTGTCATTATCACGAAAGCTAGCGTCAGCTCGCTAGAGTCTTCTTGCTTTAGCACGTATTCCGGGGCTCCCCAAGGACATCACGTGATTTTTCCCGCGAAAGGGCCCCCCCCCTGCCCCCTCCCCCATATATATCATTGTTATATATCATATATCAATATATCATTGTTGCATCCTCGTTGGGACGAACAATGCCGCGACACGATGATGACAGTCCCTCCGCAACTCACCTCTTCCCTTCCTTCTTTCTCCTACCCCGCTAGCTTTCGTCATCCACCCCCGGCCTCAAGTCAAACGTGGCAGAAGAACAGAGACCATTTATAGATGATTTTCCATTGCCAAGTTTGATTCAGGGTATGTTTTTGGGAATGAGTTGAAACCACCAACATCCCTGGGGCAGCGGGGCAGCAGGGCATCCCGCAGGCGGCCAAGCGATTTCTGCAGATCTTGGTGCAGCTGCTTCGTCCTGGTGGACGATTCATTGCCACCGTGCCCCTGCCCTCCACGAAGTCCAAAGACTTCGTTGTGCTCCCACCTTTTTCTCACATCTCCTGAGTTTCTGGATGTTCTTCGGAAATCAACCAGATTTCTGTCCTTTTTGTGGGGGTCGTGCTTGAACCATCTCAAAAGCCCATATTTTGAATGGGATTCCCATGGAATTCCAGCCGTTTTTGGGCCAGGTACCGTCCTGCGAGGTCCTAGCGGACTTCTACGAGAAAGCCTCCTTCATGGCCAACAGGACGGTGCGGCCGCAACTGCAGCCGCTGGACATCTGTTTTTTTTGGGAGAACACGCCCAACATGTGGAGTACAGGTATGTGTAGATATTTATTTGAACTATATATGCATATATACACTGTATTTAAAGAGTTATATAGAGTATTGTAGTCACATTTACTGTAATATCAGCACTGAATCAGCGCTAGTAATAGATTCGGTCCGGATCGAGTAGCAAACCACCTTCGATGGGTGTGTACTTATAGGGGAGTATGATGATGAATCAGAATAAATCAGTGAATTGGAAACACACCATTCTTGGGCGAATCCACATTTGGGATTCACCTGGCAGTTTTTTGGTTAAATGTTGTGCTTGGAGCATTCTTAAACCATCAGAGGGATGATTTTTTGACTTTGTAAGAGCAGGCCCACAGATGTGAGTGGAAGGGGAACTAAAGCAAACGCTTCCTGCATGGGCCAGCATTTCAGGATGGTGAATGACCAGTGACTGTTAGTCTATTAGTATTAAATCACA